TATTAATGATTTTCACTGCTTTGTACTTTTGCCTATGCAAAAATAGTTCAAACATTGGAAACTAGTTAAAAATTCCACGCACCACCGCATGAAGGTTAAATTCGAAATCTTGAAGGGTGAATATCTTTCCGTGATTCCCGAGTTAATAGCTTACCCGCCAAAATTCTTACGAGGTCGTAGGTGATACTCAAGAGGGAGGGAACGCTGAATCTGAATAGGCAAGGTTGAGCGTGGGCAGGGGGTTATCACCCTAAAATTTCAGCTTCCTAGACTCCGTGGCTCCTGAGATACTAATTTACCCGTAAAAACTTTCACTAGCCCGCAGCTGATACCCATGAACGCGGGAACGCTGAATTTGAATGGACAAGGTTGAGCGTGGGCAGGGAATCGTTATCCTAAAATTTCAGCCTCCTAGACTCCGTGGTTTCTGAGATACTAATTTACCCGTAAAAAAATTTCACGGGGCCGTACGTGTTACCCGCAGGTACGGGAAGGCTGAATATAAATTTGCCGCGTCACCCGTTGGCGGGTGCCGTACGAGTTACCCGCAGGTACGGGAAGGCTGAATTTAAATTTGCCGCGTCACCCGTTGGCGGAGAGTACTATACCAAAATTTCAGCCGCCTAGCTTTCGTGGTTCCCGAGTTGAAAGTGCGGGACAAAATGTGAGACACACACACACACACACACAAACAACCCCGTGACAATATGCGTTTTGTAACGCTGTTACACAGCACAAAACGCATAAAAAAAATACGTTGTGTGCTTAAACTGCTTCCATAGATATTAAATTTGCTTAGTGCCTTGTTTAGAAAACGGCCACTTTCCTCCTCTTGCACCTAAAACAGGAAGAGACAGGGTGATGGGGGCATTAAAAGCATTCATTAAAAAGCGAAGCACATGAGAAACTGAATTCAGGACGAGGCGCAAAATTTAGTCACTGACTGAAATTTAGTTAGAGCGAGGGAGCAGGATTAAATCTAGTGGAAAAATGCGGTTTTAGCCAAAGGAAACAAAAAATTTGGCTAGCACATCAGCAAAACTTGTTTAAAAAGTATTTAGCTTGGATTGTATAGAATTGCGTTAGCGGGCGAAAAAAAAAGTATTTTCAGAAGATGAGAATTCAGCATCGTGAACTCAAAATACATCAGTTTTACAAAAATAGGCACAGAATAAAACAGAGTTCAAATTCGAGAAAAATGTGCCAAAAGGGAAATTTCAGAATTTTTCGACGCTATCTGTTTTTGACCGACACTATTCAGCATCCCCTTGTCTTTTATCACCATCAAATATCTGTCTTCCTGGCCGAATTTGCTGTCTTTCTGCCAGGAAGCGCATTGGTGTTTCTCTTTTAAATATGGGTCAGAGCAGTGAATTAACGCAATATGTCTTTATACAGCAATTTTGCTGAAAAATATCCGAGTTTCTTTGAATTTTTATAAATCTTGCACTTTTTAAAATACGCTTCCCTGATTTTCAGGATCAGCTACTTAACAGTTAAGATAATGAGCGTCTGTAGAACTGCCCAAACACACGTTCACGTACGTAGTGTAGCTTCAGAGCTTCCAGCCAACATTCCATTCATCAATGGAATTATTTGAAGAAAAAAAGCATACGACGTGCGGTAAGCGTCCAGAAATGTCGTGGAAAAGGAAAAGGCATGCATGCGCAAGCGAAATCACCTCTGCTACAAATATCTTTGACATGTCCTAAAGCGTGACCCAAGCGCATTTCGAAATTTCATTTAGCTATATGATTTCCCAGATGGGCGATAAATATTTGCAGCTGTCTGGAGCTATAAAACATTGAGATATCGGTTATGATACATGCAAAGAATTTTAATCCGATGCTGCAACAGAAGAAGTGTTTCCAGGAGTGAGCAGCTGAAAACTGCATCCGTCGACCGCTTTTTGG